TTGCTTTGACTTCAATTTCGTCAAATTCAGGAATGGTTAGTTTTTGTTGTTGGATTTCAGGCAATTTGGGTAAATGGTCGATGAGGTCCTGCATTTCATAAAGATACTGTTCATTTGTTTCATCCTGTGCGGTACAGTCTAAATTAGATGTTAAAAGTTCTTGCTTTATCTTCTGGATTTCTGTTTCAAAAGTATATGAAGAAGGAATGAAGCTTTTCATTTCTACTAACATTGAAGTTGGGTTCATGACTAACGAGTTTGGTGCTGTTGTTTGAATTGTTGTTGTGCCGATTGTTGACATTTTTATTTTTTTATACAAAATAAAAAAAAATAAAAAAAATAAAACTAACTTTATTTTTTATTTCGGGAAAATTCATGAAAATTCAAGAGGTTAGAAAAGAGGGTAGAAGACAGGTTAGATCTAACCATCTACCCTAAAATATATTTTTGGGTCCTTTACACTCATTACGATGAAGAAGTCTTGACAAAACATTTATGAAGAAGTCTTGACAAAATTTCGAAGAAGTCATGAAAATTCAAGAGGGTAGAAAAGAGGGTAGAAGACAGGTTAGATCTAACCTTCTACCCTAAAATATATTTTTACTGAATTCAATAAAAATAAATGGTTCATTTACTCACAATATTTTTGTACAAAACGACCCCAAACTTTTAACTTCTTTTCTGCAGCTTCAAATGCTATCTTAGCGAGTTCATATTCTCTAAATTCTCTCTTTAAATCTTCTTGTTCCCATTGGTCTAGTTCGTATGGAGAATCTCTATAACCATAACATTTCTCACGTTCATGTTCTAATTGTTTTCCGCACATTTTTCCAACTTCTTGTTCGAACAAAGGTTTAGCATTCTCTACTGTATCTTCGAGTTCTTCTTCATCTAACTTCTCATGAACTTTCTTGTCTATGGAGTCCATAATATCTTTGACATAAAATGCATACTTTACAGAGCACCATTCAGCAACAAAATGAACGAGGTCAGCATGTATGTAAATACCTTTGAATTCATTCATAACGCCCTTAGTAAGCTCATAAAATGCTTGTTTTGAGGTTGAGCCACTTTTGGCTCGACCGTATTCTTTCAACCAAAACTCAAGAATTTCCTGCATTTTAGCACTATTGAGAAATCTGTTTAAATGGTTTAACTTCCTGCTTCTCTTGCCATCTTTGTTTGCATTTATATAACCATCCTTGTCTCTACGTAAGACTTCAATACCGTTATAAGTGCCTTTTGTGAATGTTTCGCCATTAGATTTGTTCGTGAACGTTTTTGCTTCGACTGACATATCTGTTCTTACATACAAAATAAAAAAATAAATGAAATAAAACTAACTTTATTTTTTATTTCGGGAAAATTCATGAAAATTCAAGAGGTGAAAAAACAGGTGAGATCTCACCTCTTCACCTAAATTATATTTTTCAATACTTTTTCAGCACTTTTCCGTAGTTATATATGAAAGACAATTCGAGATAAAAGTCATAGTACAATGGAATAATATGTTGCACACCATTTGTTGTGAACCAAACTTGAAAGTCAGAGAAACTGTTACTAGGTGGTTCGTAGAATTTAGAAGCAAAGTCATAAAAGTCCTTACCAATACATAGAAAACTATTGTTGCTTGAACTGAAACTTGCATGACACATAACATTTTGAGGGTCAAACACGTTTCTATAAACTGTCAAATCTGCTGGTGGAAGTATAAATTGAAATGGACCATCTGGGTAATGGTTCGTTCTGGTTTAGTAACCGAAGAAATTGTGCCCAAGAACGTTTGTCTACTTCCCAAAATAAAAACTCTGTATCTCTTGGAGGGTTAATTTCAATCTTTTGAAATGAAACGGTGGAGTTCATCTTGTCATATTCTAGTTTCAGATAGTATGTTCCATTTAGTAAAGAGTCGTATTTTTCTTGAAATTCCCAATAATATTTGTTCATTTGAGTTTGAAAGTCATTTAGAGTTTTCTCAAGACTTTCGTCTGAACGAACTGTAAAGATTCTCATTTCGTCAAATTTGTCTATTAGACCATCATGACCTTTATACTGCCATGAAAATATACTGCGAACATAAATGCGTTAGTTCTATTTGAAAACAAAACTCTTCTAAATCCTATTGCTTTGCATCTGAAGGACTTTGAAGCCAACGAATTGGATAGTCAAACCTGTATATTCGGATGAAATTTCTTCATCTGATATTGTCCTACCAGCATTTGTAAAGATATAGTCTAACGGTTTTGTATCTGCTACTTTTGTTCTTTGTTTTTCAACCTGAAGCATTTAATATATGTAAAAATATATTGTTTTAAAATGGTATGCCATATAGCTTCTTGAATTTGTTAAGAAGTATTTGAACGTGTTTTCCATCTGTATCTCTAGTGTTTACATAAGCATAGCCTTCCTTAGTAAAATATACTTGTAATTTTCCTATAGTTTACGCCGGTATAAAAGTAGAAAGAGTCTTGTTCTTCGCTATAGTAGTAAAACTCAAACGTATGCTTGCCATAGTCTGTAATTTCAATTGTTTCATCTTCTAGTTCGTCGACAAATTCGAATACAATATCTCCAAATTTGCTTTGTTCTTATTGTTTTCAGAACAATGACCCAACGTAAGTTTTCAAGTCTATTGTCGTTTCTTATACGGTTTATATGGTCTACAAAAGGTAAATTGTTAGGATTCAGTATAAAATGAGTTGCAATGACAACAGTTTAAAATAGTTTTTTCCACTCATCTTCATAATAGCATATCCGTCATTTCGCTCCCATTCGCTTAAAACTCTTTTTGTCTTTTTTGTTTCTGACTTCAAATGACTCACAACAGTGAATTTCATATTTCTCATCTAACAAACAAGTTTCCCAACGGTCTTCTCCAACAACTCAGCGTACATTTCAAATAAAATAAAAAAATATTTTTTTAAAAATATATTGTTTTAAAATGTATGCCATTTCATATTTCTCATCTAACAAACAAGTGTCCTTCAACTTGAGGTTCACTAACATCGAAAGGCATGTCCATAAGACGTTCTTCTTCTAACCTCTCTAGTCTGTTTGGATAATTTGCACGTGCTGTTTCCAAATCCATTTCGTAGCGAAGACCAGCCAGTTTGTCATAGACTTTTATGGGTCTTCCTTCCTATATTTAAACTTCTTCGAAACTCTCCAACCATATCTTTGCAACTCTGCTTTTATTCTAGCAGATTTCTATCCATTCTATATGGGGCATTTTTATAAAAATAAAAAAATTTTTTTCTTTACTTTACATAACCGCCTGCTGCCATAAGTCTTTGACGCCAACCCATACCAGCTAATGAAGGTTGACTTGGTTTAGTTTCCAAACTAAACTTTGGTTTTGGTTATCTTCAGTTTTTGGTTTCTCTTCTTCTATCGGTTTTTCGTCACTTTTCGGTTCCTCTGACTTTACCTCACCTGCAGGAACAGTTGTGTTGTCAACATCTTCATAAATATCATATGCCATTTGTTTTTGTTTTCCTTTCAACTTTTTGTGTTTGTTGTAAAGTTAGAATATTTCGACTCTAAGTCAATGAGATGTTCTATAATGAACTGTTGGTCAGTGAAGTAAACTTTTCCATCTGTTGTCTCGAAAGCTCCTTCAGACTTCAATATTTTATTTGTGAGAGTCTGTTTCTTTTTTGAGATACTAGCCGTTCCATTTCTATGAAAAGTGACTTTATAGTTAGGGTTTGTATTTCCAGACCTGGCACTTTCTATTATTGAATTTTTCTCTTCATCTGTAAGTTCTTTGAAGCAGGTTTTGACAATGGTTCTGAACTTTTTGTTGTGGTGTCAAATCTACCGTTTCAACTTCTTCGGTCATTTCATCTCAGTAAAAAATTTTAGTTTGGTTTGTTTTCAACTGGTTGTTTAGGTTTTTTAAGTCGGTCTAAAACTTCCTGAGGTATAGGAAGAACTTGACAAACACGTTGTGTAACTGCTGGAAGCCGACAAATCCATCTTGAACCCATTTGTCTCAATGCTGTATTGTTCATTTCATCTCAGTAAAAAACTTTACATTCCCCACGTTTGAGGCGGTTGAGGTTGGTTATTGTTTACCCATTGTTGTGCATGGTTATATCCTCTGTTAAAGAATCTTTCACCTTGGTCCATATAGTGTCCTGCTTGGTTATAGTAGTCATTTGCTTTGTTATAATAGTTTCCTGCTTGTCTTCCTACATTGTCCATCCATCCTTGAACTTTTCCTCTTGTTTCAGGATTTGGAATAAGATTTGTTGCATCTCGTGCTACATCCCAACCTTTCTGTACAGTTTGTATAATAGGTTGTGCTTTCTCTTTAAGTATACCTAATGTACTCAAAATCTTCCTTCCAACTCCAAATACACCTCTGGCTATTGTTCCACTGCGGGTAAAAATCTAGATGCGACTCCTGCTAATGCGCCAAATAAACCCATTTCTTATGGGTTAAAAAATGACGAATCCAAACAAGGACCCCTATGTTTCTAAAGCGACAAAGAAAGCACTCATGGTAAAAATCTTTAGTTCAACACAAATGCTTGGTTTATGGATATCTTGGAAAACATTCCGAGAGTTAGAACAGATGGACCACCATACTGGCTAATATTTGTCGGTCAAAACACAAGATACTGTGAAGCCATACCATTACAGTCCAAAAATATTTTAGATGTGAAAACTGCTTTGACAATATTCGTTGACAAATACCATCCAACAAAACTGACATCTGACTGTGAAAGTTCTTTCAAATCAGATGATGTAAAAAACTATCTGCGTTCAAAAAATGTAAACCAATATTTCATTGTCGACCAAAACCATTCTGCTCTTGGTGTCATTGACGGTTGTATAAAAATGTTAAGAGACCTAAACCAACCACAAGGTGGTGAAGCAAATGAAATGTCATATGACGACAAATATAGACACTTCTCCATGGCAAAGATGAGACAAGTTTTAAATATTTACAATAGCCGTAAACAAAAAGGTTTGGGAAACCACTCCCCGAAGAAATGAAAAACAACCCTGACTTAGAGAAAGACTATATATTTAATAATTTAGTCAAAAGAGACAAACAAGAAAGAATGCCGGGCTTCAAACTTCAGAAAGGTGACAAAGTAAAAATAGAAATACCCAAACGCGACCCATATGAAAATACTATTGACTATGACAACAATGGGAACCCGACAGGTACTCACATTCGTGTTCGTAAAAATAGAAGAAAGTATACAAGAGAATATTATGAAGTTTTAGGCAAACATGGCAAAATGTACACACTGCAAGCAGAAGATAAAACTACTATTGTCAGACCTCGTTTCAAACTTGTCAAAGTTCAAGGTGGTATACTTTCAAAGACAGTTCCTAACAAATATAAGACAACTCCTGACGAATATGCTAAAGAAGTTGAAAATGACGACTAAGCAATTCTATACCATGCGTAAACTGTCATGTAAGGTGGCATGTAGTCTTTACTTTGTCCCGTTGTTTGCGTATATCCTGAAACGAAATGTGTATGGTTTCCTTCTCCCTGAGTGTCATCCCAGTAACAATTTATAGCAAACTTAACGTCCTCTTTAACATCATATCCTTTACCTTTTGTTATTCCTGACCAATCCCAATATCTATGCTTATGCCAACCTGCTTGAGATGTACTTAAATCTATGTAGTGACTGTGTGCAGGTAAATTTTCACCTGAAATCGTTTTACTTCCACCTGTTTCCTTTGAAGAGTTTGCACAATACAAAAACCTGTCGACTATTTGTTCCCATGCACCAACACCAAACATTACTTGAGGACCTCTTGCTTCCATAGATGTATAAATAGAACCTACTGGGTTCATTAAATCAAACATATGAGACATTATAGGATTGTCTCTTTTGAACTTAAAATATAGTGCAACTATTTCAGGTTTCTTCTGGTTTGTGTCAGAATATTTTTTATAATATAATCTTATGTTTTCAGGGTAGGTAAAATCTTGACTATAATATTTATTTCTGTCATCTTCATAATAGTATACTATTCTCGTTTTTTCTATTGCATTATATCTTTTATATCTATAATAATCTAAATATAATGTTAGCTTTTGTTCATCTACATGTGGTGTTCTGACGTCATCTCCATAGTCATAATAATATGGTGCTGGAGCTGGGTCAGGCAATGTCATATCTGTCATTTCATAAACTCTTAAATATTTCTTTTGTTCGTCTCCATATAAGTTTAAGTAGCAGTTGTTGTCTAATGGAACTTTAACTTGTGTACCATCATTCTTTTTATAGCTTACATACATTTCATTGTTATTTTTCGGAATGAGTTTATACCGTGTACCATTTTTTAAGGAATGTACAAACTGCCATCTAAAATATTTATTTTCTTCATTGAAAGAAAAGTCACCAACAATAGTTTCAATATTTTTTGTTCCTATCAAACTTTGGTATATTTCATTGACATATGTTTTATCTGCTTTCTTTTCAAGGCTAACGTTTAAGTCTGTTATTTCAGAAGATGTATGTGTATGTCCAACGGCACTTTTCCTGTTTAAGGTTTCTTGTAAGTTTGTAATATTTGCAATGGTATGTGTATGTCCAACGGCACTTTTCCTGTTTAAGGTTTCTTGTAAGTCTGTTATTTCAGATATAGAATGTGTATGAGTCTTTTTAGAATATTCGTTTTCAGCTCTTGTCACTTCACTTGACATTTTATTGTCAACATATGTTTTGTCTGCTAGTTCAGGATGAGTATGTTCTTTTGTTGCATAAGCATTGTTAGCTCTTTCTTCTTCTTTTGCTATTGCATCGTCTACATATTCTTTGTCAGCTTTGTTGTCAACATCTGCTTTCAAAAGAAGTTCATTTATAGGTTTCTCGTTTAAAGTTCCTTTTGTTGGATTTATACAGACAGTATTGTTCTTCTTGTCTTGAAATAGAAACTCATCTGTCATTGGGTTTAATGTCAGTTTTAAGTTTCCTTCTTTCAATGACTCAGATATCTTAGAATAGTTTGAAAAGTTTGTTGTGTTCTTATTTAGAGCTTGCATAATGAGTTGTCGGTTGTGTTGTATTTCTCTCATGGAAGCAATATCTTTCGACATTTTTATTCTAGATAAAATATGCTTCCAATAGAAAAAGAAAATTCAAGAGTTGCTACAACTAAACCATTAGATGAACTTTTTACTAATGTCGGTCAAAAGTTTGAGACAGAGACCGTAAAGCATGAAGGCTATCGTTTTGACTACCCATTAAGATGGTTAAGAGACCCATCTGTCACAAAAGCTATTGGCTTTCGTAGAATGAAGTTTGTGTCTGTAGAAGATAAAAGTTTTCCATTTATTGTAAGGTTTCATATAGATTATATATCTGAAGGGAAACGAAAAATGTGGGAAGAAATTGAGCTAATACAAGTTGACCTTTCATCTTCTCTACAGACTGCGTTAAAAAATATAGAAGATAAAATAAATTCATGTTATGCAAAATATGCTGATGAATATGCAAATACCGAGAGCACACTTTATGTGAGAATTGTATATGACAAACAAAATTCACAAGTGTCATTTCAAATCTACGAAGACAATCCAAAGAAAGACGAACAAATATATACAGAATTCACTGCAATGTCATGGTATTATTTGCAAAGAATGTTAAATCAGAAAGTCAAACTTCCTTTAGCAAATATTTACAGTCGATATGCAAGAGATGAACCATATTTATTTAAAGATGTTTTCGACCCAGCTGCTATTATTGTTCATGCTTCATTTTCTGGCGCCCAAAACTCTTTCTTATGCTTGGCAAATGACTTTTACGAAAAACCTACAAAGTTATACGAACCACCAAGTGGAAGTATTTCAGACTTTCAAGTATGGTTTACTACAGATGGAAGAAAAAAATAATTCCATTATACCATGCGTTTTACTTAGAACTTAGTTTCATATACAACTACTATCGAACGGTAAAAATATAATTTTTTAATACGGTTGAGGTGTTGGATTTGGTTGCCAACTAGACTGTGGTGCAGGTTCAGGCTGTTGTATAACAGGAGCTTGTTCTTCTGGTTCAGGGTCTTTAGGTATAATACCAACAAACTGACCTACTCTTTTACCAATATTTTTGACTCCGTTCCAAATTCCTCTTCCTACGGTTTTTATTCCATTCCATATACCTCTTCCAACATTTCGAAAGAAGTTTCCAATACTACTGAAGAAACCCATTTTACTATATGTAAAAATCTAATGTCCGCCTAGTCTCTTACGTTTCCTGTTGAGTTCCATAGCATTCTTTAACTGGAGCTCATACATTCTGTTTCTCCTCTGGTAGAAAACATATTCTGGGTCAACTCCTGTGTTCGCGTCATCTGCATAAAGTTGTTTATATCCCACTTCAGGGTTTGTATAAAACTCTTTCCATCTCATATTTGCATACCATGGTGGCAAACCTAACGCAGCGTCATTTGACATGGCAGTTTGCATTTGTACATCTGTTGGCACTTGACCATAGTTTGCCATTGCAGTTTGTATTCTAACTTCATTTGGAATATTCTCTGGGTTTGGTTGTCCAGGTTGCTGTGCATTCGCTAAGTTCTGTGCGTCCATTTAATATTAGATAAAAATATCTCTTACGAGTACATATGCTGAACATTTGCAGGCATTGGTTCATCTTCATATTCTCTGTACTTTTCTGCCACGTCAAATAAATAAATGACACAATGGAAAAAACCTAAAACAAGTAGTCCTATTTCAAACCACATTTACTTACTAATAAAATTTCTTTTGTTATGACACTTTCTCCAGTTTATAGGACCTCTCTCATATTCTATCTTGTCATATATAAACTCATAGTCATGTATGTCCTCTAACCATTTCATGACACTTTCCAAACCACTTTTATCGGATGTAAAGTAAAAGCATGGATGGTTATGTAAAACGTCTAAAGTTTCTAAAGAGTCTCTCAAAGTCCAGTCTACTTGGTATTGAAAATCCCATGTGTTATAGAACGGCGGGTCCACTATAAAGAAAACATTTTCCTTGTCTTTATATTTTTCATACAAATCTGTCCAATGACATCTCACAAACTCTATACCCTCAATATATTTTTCTATGTCCTCTTTGAAAACATTTGTATAGTTAAGATATAAAACTTTTGACATAAGTGTTTCAATGTCATGAACTCTTATAGCACCACTATATAATAGTCTAGCAGATATACTATCCCAGTCTATATATTCTGCTTTTTTCAAAACCTCTCTCACAATATTTTTCTTATCTAATGGTATACGTTCCATCTTACCTATAGGTATCTTTTCTTTTAACTCTTTCAATATATTGTTTGTGTCTGGTATATGTTTGAGACGGTCCATATAGTTGTCGAAGTCATTGCATATAATCTTTGAGTCTGGGAATATTATATGGCACAAATGGGATATATAGAAACTTCCACCGAACAAATCTACAAATGTTAGACCATTCGGTAGTTTCTTAAGTTCTCTCAATATAATATCTTTACATTTACTCTTATTTCCAAAGAACGGTAACGGAGGTTTTGTAAAATTCATTTATATATAATAATAAAAATGTTTTTCCTGAAAAGTGACAGAAAAGTGACAAAACATGAAAACATATATAATTTGTGAAAAGCTCCTGGAAGACCCGTATATATAAGAACTTCATTTATAATAATCATCTTCAGGGCTAGAAGGCACGAAGTGCCTGGAAGCCCCACTACCTTTTTTTTTTTGTGTGAGCGTTATTCAGATAAAAAAAATGGTAGAACATAAATATCGAATTTATTAAAATAGATTATGCTAAGCTAAAATGAAAGTTACAAAGAATAAACAAAATTTTACGGTTCCCTTCCTAGATAACCATGTTTTTCCATCCTTTATGACTAAAATGAGTGTAATCAATATGATTTGATATCAACTAACAAAAAATCTCAATCTTTAATTTGAGAAATCATATATTTAACTGATTTACTATATCTTTCCGGATTATATCAATATTTTGAGAATTTTTGATGTACGTTTGGAAATTAGGAAAAATCAATGTCTGACGAGAAACTAACAGATTCTTCTTCAATAGGAGTAGACAGTGATGAAGATTATTTCCTGCCTTGTCCAAAAATCTCATTTAATCATGATATTTTTAATACTTTACAGCAATACGAAGAAGAATTAAAAAAGAATCTCGATAGTTTAGGGCAATCACCACACTCAAGTGAAAGTTCCAAAGTGGCATCCAATATTAACTCTATATTATCATTTGAAGACTCAAAAACAGAATTTTCTAAAACCGAATCTAGAGATAATTTTTATTCAACGGGTGGCTCACTAGATAAGCGTTTTATATCAAGTGATCAAGATCACAAATCATATGAATACGAATATATTTCATATTACGATGAAGAAGATGATAATGAGCCAGAAGTAGAAATTGGTGGCAAAGAAAAGATACCTACAGAAGTAAAGAAGTTCGCAAATTACAATTTTATGAATACCTTGACATCTATAGATGATGATAAAATTGAAAATGAGAAATCTCAAGAATCATCAACACTTCCTGATGGTATGGGTGTTGCTGAAGGTAGTATTGTACGAGGAAATACAAAATCTGATAAAATTACAACTAGCGATATTTTGAGTGACATTTCTGATTCACCGGTAGAACACGTTCAATTAAAACATCTTTCTGATGAAGGAGCTGGTCAAAATCAAAAGAGTAGTCATACTTCTGAAGAAAATACTCCGGATCTCGCGATTCTCGGTGCAGATTTATCAGGTTCCGATAAAAACGGCTCTGATAATGAAGATGAAGACTCTTTCAATTCGACAAAAGCTTCACTAGATAAGCCAATAAATAAAAGTTCTCCAAATGAAAAAGTGTCAGATTCTCCAAGCAAAGGCAACTCAATCTTATCATCTCCGTTCGGATCACCATCGAAGCAAGAAAGCACATTTGTATCCCATACTCTTGAAGATATCCCTGAAGAACCTGAAGATGAATTTATTTCTCCAAAAGCAAGCGAGGTCATATCTGGCTTGATTGATGGCAAAAGTACTGAAGAAGATTCAAACATGGATCTAGAAAAGAACCAAAGTGGAACATTTAACTCTTTTATTTCAATTAAAAATCTTAAGAGTGTTCCGAATTCAATTATATCAGCTGATTTCGTTAGTGAGCTTAATGAATCAAAGAATGATGATAAAGATAGTATATTATCATCATTTACTTCAGCTGCTCAATCACCAAATAAAGTCGAAACTCCAGGAGACTCTGATTTTAATAGTGTTATTTCAGCAAAGAATGAAGTAGTTTCTGAATTTAATCAAACAGTTTCATCAATTAATGATAAAAACAAAATATTTGATTCTGAAGATTTTGATGACTCAGCTTCCAGTGGTTCACATAAATCAGAAAAGAAATCACAGCAAAGTTCGGACTTCATTTCAGAGATTAAATCAGAAGAAAAATCATTTGGAAGTTCAAGCTTTATTTCTACAACAAAATCTACTAAAAACGGAAATGAAAATTCCATATCAGAGATACATTCTGGTATTGCAATAAATGAAGATTCTGATAATTTTATTAGCGATCCAAAATCATCCAAAGTCATTTCAGAAGGTGGATCTTCAGATTTCATTAGTTTCAGCAAATCAAGTGTTGCTCAACATGCAAATAGTGATTCTGGATTCATTTCATTTATTTCTTCAAAGAGCAGCAAAAAGATTAAACAAGATGGATCATCTGATTTTATTTCAACAATTAAATCTGAGAAGAATGCATTGTCATCTAGTGAGTTTATAACAGATGATACTTTTGGATCGAAATCACCATCCGGAAATTCAGATTTTATATCTGTAATTAGCACCGAGAGAAAGAAAGAAGATACCGATGATGATTTCATCTCTACAATCAAGTCTGAAAAAGAATCAAGTTCAAATGATTTTGTTTCAACAATAAAATCGGAAAAAGAACAAGTTTCTAGTTCAAGTGGCTTCATTACTACAATAAGTTCAGAAAAGAAAGAGAAATCAGAGTCTGATGACTTTGTTTCCACAATCAAATCTGAAAAACAAAAAAGTGATGGTTCAAGTGACTTTGTATCAGTGATTACATCAAATCGCGGTGATTCTAGTGATTTTGTATCAACAATCAAATCAGAAGAACAAAAAGTTTCTGAATCTGATGATTTTATTTCAACAATGAAAACAGAACCTTTAAGGAAATCAGAATCAAGTGCCTATATATCATTTGTCAAATCTGAGAAAGCAAGTTCAACTGATTCTGATGATTTTGTATCAACAATCAAATCAGAAAAGAAATCCACTAATTCTAGTGATTTTGTTTCTACAATTAAGTCAGAAAATAAGTCAAGTGAATCAGATGATTTCATATCTACAATTAAATCGGAGAAACAGCAATCTGAATCTGATGATTTTGTTTCTACAATTAAATCAGAGAAAAAGACTGATACAGAATCATCCGATGCATTTGTCTCAACCATCAAATCCGAAAAGCAGTCTGCTGTTACTTCAAGTGAATTTATTTCGGTATTGAGTTCTGAAAAGAGAAATGTCTCAGGATCGAGTGAATTTATATCAACAATTACAACAAAAGAGGCGTCAGAAAAAGCTTCTGATAGCGATGACTTTGTTTCTACCATTAAATCTGAAATTCATAAAGATTCAGCAATTGATGAATTCATTTCTACAATTAAATCAGAGAAAGATGTTGAATCGAGCTCAGATGAATTCATTTCAACAATAAAATCAAATCACTCTGTTGAATCTTCTGATGATATTGTTGAAACTATATCAGAAATCCAGTCTCAAAAGGAAACAAGTGATGATTTTGAATCAACAATTAAATCAGTTCGCGAAAATGCTGATAAAAGCTCTGCAAAATCAGAAAATAATGATTCATTACCAGATGACTTCATTTCAACAATTAAATCAGTTGAAACAGCCAAATCTGATGCGGAAAGCTCTGTTACAAGTATCAAATCTATTCCTTCAGAAAGCTCTCAACGATCAAGAAGAAGAAAGCGTAAATCCAGCTCATCTACAAGCAAATCCCAAGTTTCTATTAACAGAAAATCTGAACCTACCGAAAAATCTATTGACGACGATTTCATTTCATTTTCAAACTCAAAAGCTACTGTTCAATCACCAGAGAAGCAAGCAGAAAATGAATCATCGGATAATGATAATTTCATTTTCCAAAGCCCTGCACCAAAACAAGCAAAAAGCCGTTTGAATCCAGAAAAAACTGCCAAAGATAACAAAAATACAAAAGAGGATAAGCCTGTAAAAAGTGACGGACCAGGTGAACTCGGAAATCTCCAAAATCTTACTGCAAACTTGCAAGCAAGCAATCTCAGTAATGAGACTGTTTTGCAACTGATCACTACTTTATCCAAAATCGCCGATCAAAACAAGAGTAGTCCTGATCATCACCATCATCGACACCGACATCATCATCACAGATCATTAAACACAGATGAGATCCCTTGTATTCCAACAGTGTTCAAGAAATACTCATCTGCTTCGAACACTGACCAATCTTCGTCATCTGCCGAACCTATTCCACAGAAAAGATCAAGAACCAAACTTTCAATGTCAATCCCACATGACACAAATGACTTCCTAGATTTAGAGGAGATATCACCGACAAGTATCAGCGCTAGTGATATTCCTCAAAATGACGAAATTCCGAAACCAACATTCATTTCATTCAGAGAAGATGAGAAAGACAAGAAAGTTCGTCTTAGTCTTTCAAGAACCAAACAAATTGGAGACATTCCTCCGCAAAATGAAAGATCTCCATTAAAAGTTTCGCAGAACACAATGAATTCTCCATCAATTAAATTGTCTCCTATTAAGTCTAAGCAGAGTCCGACCATCACTCGCTTTTCATCATCACAATACACTACTTCCGCTTATCCATCCTATGGAGCGTATCCTATTGATGAAAACTTCATATCTACTATCAGAACAGCTAGAGTACAGCTTGCTTCTATACAAAACTCTATCTCAATCTCAAGACAAAAGAGGGCAATGCACGAATCTCGTGTTTCCTCATTTAAGTACACGAAAAATCCATACAACGAGTAGTTCTATTCATTCTTTATAAAATGTTTGTATTATTTATTCTTTACAAAGCTGATTTTTTTCTGAAAAAAGAATTTGTAAAATTTTTTTGTTGTAGTATGATTTTGAAGTAATAAAAGAGGCTTAGTAGAGAATAAAAATCTTATTTTTAGTGGTTGTTGAGTTCCTTGGCAACAAGAGCATCACGCTTGGCCTCAAGCTGAGCATACTTGAAGCGCTGGAAATCGTTCATTTGAGCCTTGTTCTTGCGGGCGATAACCTGCTTGCCCCAGGCAGATTCGTAGAATTGCTTGACAAGATCCTTAGCAGCGGCCTTAGCAGCTTCTGGAGCAGCATTACGCTGGATCTTAGCGACGTAGTCGGTGAGCTTAAGGCGTTGGATTGGGATGGTCTGGCGTGGAGCATCGAATTCGAGAACATCGATGAGAACACGCTTGTCATCAACGATGTCAACAATAATAGCAAGCTTGTCAACAAGTTCACCGAAGTTAATGAGGGCAACACGACCGATTTCAACGAACTGTTTGAAGGGCATTCGTGAAAAGGTCGACCAAACGGTTTTGACGGTTTCATAACTATGGGATTTCGATACTTTGGTGGCCAAAATTCATAGATTTAGTAATTTGAATGTATGGAAAATTTAATCCACTCTTGAAATTTCATTTCTAAATATGAATTGTAAATTTGATGTCTATTCATATAGCATATATGCAATATTATGTATTGTCAATGCTTATTAGTGGTTTAGCATTATTCTTTTTTGAAACTAAATAGACCGGTAAATGAAATCCAGTTTTCATAATTTTAATTGTCAGAATTTTGGAGTATTTTAGTTGTTAACATGATTTTCTATATAAAATAGATATATTTTATAGATTTGTTTTATGAATATAGCCATTATTTCCCTTAAAATTGCAAAAATTTTATATTTTTCGAATTTTTCCTCATTAAAATTAATTCAAAAATCTAACTTTTATCTAAAGTTATCAACTGATTAAATTTTCTTGGTTTGCAACACCCGCTTTTATAATACTGCTTAGCAATGGCATAATTCGAATCTATGCTTGTACTTCGAGAAAATCAATCAAACGAAATGACATTGGATCATACAATTCAATTTATATGTTCCAGTGAATAGCGTTAAAAAAGACACGTTTGATATGACGTCAAGCCGATCTCTCTACTTTATGAAATTTTCAAATTTCTTCCAAAAAATTTGGGCAAAATAAACAGAGAAATCGCAAGAAATACATTCGATCGCTTAAATGACAACAAAATATTTATAGGTTTTGCAAAATATAATTTTGCCAATCAACACAATTTCATAGTAGTATATGTGGACGGGTTTTGTGACTTTTTTTGTAAACGTAAGAATTCATACAATATTGAACGATTTTGTATCATTTTTTTTAACATATGAAGTAAAAAATGTATGATTCTTACGGTTTTTATTCTCACGTTTTTGAATAAATTAAGATTTAAAAAATTTTCAAAATTGTAAGACATTTACACTCAGCCCATACATAACGAAATAAAAAAATAAAAAATTGACTTCTTACGTAAAATTAAAACTAAGTTAAATTTATTTTTTATTTTATAATAAATGAGTATAACAACTAATTCATTGAAATCTTTAAAGTTCACTAATTCAGAATTAGAAAATATTTTAGAAAATTTTGGAGACGGTTCTTATCCAACATATATGCAGAATGTGAAAGAGTTTTCCAGATTGTTGAATGAATTTAAATATAACGGACCAATTACTAAAAAGGCTATAATGAGATATTTATATCCCAAAAAAGTTGAAAAACAGGAGAATATTCCTCTTTATGGTCCAGAGGACCTGGGCTCAGAGAGCCTTGAAACACCTCCTGAATATTTTGAAGAAAAAATTAAACAAGATGAATATTATAACGATGAGATTGAGAAATTGGAACAATTAAGAAATGAAATAGATGAAAGAATTAGTGAATTGAGAAATGCTGAGAATGAAGTAGAGGGTTTAATGAATATCCCAGCTTCAGAATCAGAAGTTCAAAAATCACATGAGGAAAGATATAAAAATTACTTTTTGGAATCTACTAAAAATTTATTAGATGGTGATATTGACGAAACACTTTCAGAAGAAGGCACAAAATTTATTCATAAACATAAGCTTCAGTTTATTGACGATGGAGATTATCCATGTATATTACTTTCACCTCCTCTTGATTCTGAAAAATTCAAAAAAGCACTGAAAAATGTAACATATGCAACAAATACGATTAAGAAAGAAGACCATGATATTTACACAAATTATTATTTAAATAAATGTACAGGTGTTGATAAAGTTTTTGATTTGTTAGATAAAATATCAAAAGAAACAATTGGTACATATAAAATTTTATGCGATTGTGGTTTCATTATTGAAGATACCAATAATGTTTCATATGAAAGAACAGCACCGAAGGAAGACGAAGTGGAAAGGTCTATACCATTCGTTATTAAGAACATAAAAGATATGAAAACTTATAAACATTATATTTATTCATTTATTTCAGAAAAAATGGAAGCAACCCATAAAACATCATCTCATCATTTTATAGCTATTCATACATTCCTTTTCAAAGTTGTGAAATTAAATAAGACAGGAATTAGATTTAATGTATCAGGGTACGCATTCTTGAGTAAATTAAAATGTATTCGTCACGTCGCAGATGATAAAAATTTATGTGTTCTTAATTCATTTTATGGGTTTTAACCCTGGACTCTCTGAGTCTCGGACTTTAAAAAAAAATAAACTTTATTTTTATTTATTTTTTAATTTTTTATTCTTACATAAATGAACAAAAACGGAACAGCTAAAATGAATGATAATCAAATTAAAGCAGAAGGTAGAAGGTTATTTAAACGCTTCTATAACATTCCTGATGGTGTTAATCCTAAAACTCGTAGAAGTTATTTAAATGAAGCCATAGATGCATATGAAGGATTTGACATTTCATCAGAAAGTGAGAGGTTAGCAAGAATGTTAAATGTTAATATTGATTTCTATTATTGTGATCCTCAACCGGAAGACGTGGACATAAATAAGGTAGACTTTCCATTAGTGGAATCAATAATGATAGATCCAGAATTTGAAACAGTAAATATTTTATTAACACAGAGTCCATGTGGAAAACTTCACGCTGACAGAATTACAGACGTTGAAGCACTCACAGGATATAAAGTTTGCCCCTTTTGCAAAGAAGAAGTTTATTCTATCCGTGATGATCCAGAAAGGAAAAACCAAAGAAGATTTTTAAAACATTGTGAGAAATGTAAAGAAAATAATGGAAGATTAATTCAAGACGTTCAATTGCAAAACACACAACAACCATATACACCACATATCACGAAACAGAAGATATATCAATGGCTATTAGCACATAATTTGCAGGAATATTATAAACCGACAAGATATTATATTACTTTTGACTTCGAAACATTAGAGACTAAAGAAGAATTACAACTTTCTGAGTGTGCAACTTTGAACGCTTACTTAAAACCATTCATGGTATCATCAACGGTTAAATTAAATGATAAAACATATACGAGGAATTTTTGCTTAACTTCAAGTGATTCTTTTATTTCTGATTGGATTGAGTTTTTATTTTCAACCTGTTCATTAGTTGCTAAATCAAATATTGAACAATATGAAGAATTAATGAAGTCGCAAACGGACCAAACGGCGGGGACTTTGTCTCATACATTAAATGAGAAACAAAAGGAAGCAATGAAAGAGCTTTTAGATGAAGAATTCAATAAAGTGAATATCATAGGTTTTAATTCGGGAAAGTTTGATTTAAATTTAATTCTTCGTGATTTAAACACTGCAAAATGGAAAATAAAATCAATGCTGGGTTCTTCTTCTCAATTTAAGCAAATCATTGTAAAGAAAACAAACGTTCCATATGAATTGAGATTTATTGACATCAGAAATTATATAGCGGGTGGGACATTAGACCAATTCACTCAAGATTTCGGAAACAATAAATCACGTGTTAAATCCTTTTTCCCTTATCAATTCATCACATGGGAGAATTACGAAGATGAATTATATAAAAGGAACCATTCACGAAAGATTCATTTTATTCAGCATTAACTCAAGAAACTATATCAGATAGTGATTATCAAATATATCTCAATGATGCTAAAAACTTTAAGAATAGATTAGAATATTTTATTCATTATTGCAATAAAGACGTTGAAATTATGATTGACCCAATTGATAAAATTATTGAAGAAACATTTGTTTATAAAATTGATATGCTTCATAATCTTTCTTTATCATCGAATGCTTCAATGATTCGTTACGTTAGCATATAAGAACTTCAATCCTAACGAAACATATCCAGAAGAAGAAAATGTGGAATCAAGTTTTGAATTAACGAAAAAGTATTGGAAATATAAAATTGAATCATATAAGAAACAAGATGAAAAAGCAGAAAGGGATACTAAAAATAATGTTTCAATGGATGATTTTCAATACTATCACGATTTAATCCTTTCATCTAAATGTAAAATGTGTGGTAAAGCGTTTACATATGCAAATAAACCAACATTGGATAGAATCGATAATGAAAAACCACATACCAAAGAAAATTGTCAGTTAATGTGTTGTTATTGCAATGTCGTAAAATCAAATAAAGATGAAGATGTTCAACGTTTAAGAATCAATTTAAGAAATTATGCATTAAAAAATAATTTACCAATGACTTTAGATTCAGTTGAAGCTTATCACATTCTCCGTAATGGAATTACTGGTGGTCTATCAAATGTTCAACATAGAGTAAATCTTAAAGGAATCACGCACATTAATAAACTTTCATATAGTCCAGAAACTAAAACTGTATCAAATGAGGACACACCAACATTATGACTCATTTCGTTGGAGTTGACTTTAATTCATTATATCCTTCATCATTTTCATCTAATCCTCATGATTTCATTCAATATACTGACCATAAAATGTATATGCCGGGAAAATTGAATGGTGTTATCATTTGTGATACAGCAACAAAGAAAGCAAAAGCACTGGGAATAATTAAGAAGAAAAATACTTTATTCGTGGCTGAAGTAAAGGGTCACATTGATGAAAAATACATTAATGATTACATAAACTTTTTACCGATAATAAGAAACTTTGATATTATCACAGATGAAAAAACAATTGGCAGTTTTATGTATAATTACATGAAATCAAACAATTACCGGTTGACCAGAAACAGAGAAAATTAACTCAGTTAGCATCAACACACAACCAATATCAACCATTTTCTTCTTATTATCTATGGTATCTAATAGACAGATTTCATTTTATCATTGATGATATTCAATCAATTTTAACATTTACTAAAAACACTTGTTTTAATGAATTTGCGAACAAATTTATGAACGAAAGACAAAAGGCTGAATTAGAAGGAAATAAAGGAAAAAGTTTATTTTGTAAGATTTCGCTTAATGGATCATATGGTTACGATGCAATGAATACACAAAATTACGCAAAGACTAAAA